GGAAAACACAAGAAAAGTTTAGAGGTACAATGATTGGGTTATGAGAACTTCAACCAAATCAGGGCATTAATCCACCTGAATGAATTAATTGAGCAGTAACCATAAGGAAGATGAGGCTGGAGGAGGTAGGTCACTGGGGGCATGCTTTTAGGGTACGCATTTTGCCCCAGAGTTTTCTCTCTGCCTCCTTGTTATCATATTCTGAACTGCTTTCCTCTACCAGACCTTTTTGCCATGATGTTCTGTCTCATCTTGAGCCTAGAGCAATGGAGTTGGCCATCTATGAACAGAGACCTCTAAAACATAAGCACCAAATAAACTTTTCCTCCTCTRTGTTGTTCTTGTCAGGTTTTTTGGTAATGTGACCAAAAAATTCACCAAAACAGAGCATCAATACTATTTAGAAGCAGTGTAGCAAGATTTCATGACTACCTGGTAAGCATTCATGAGTGACCTAGGAGCCATGTATCATCCAGCTGGCATCCAATGAAGGTGAGTAAGCATCAATAATGCCAAGTACATGTATATAGGGTAACAATGGCTGTCTTATTCTACCTATATACTTGTATGATTACACTGCTGGTGTGACTCTGCATCATGTATAGCTGCATCATGTATAGCTAGAGGAAGAAGGTATGCTCCATTTGTGTACAACGTGTCAGAATGGATTCTACTATCATGTATCCTAATTAGAACATACATATATATATATATATATATATATATATATATATATATATACACACATACACCAAGAACAACTTTCTATACACTTTTTAAAGACAGATGAAATGAAAACCTCAGAGGAGGAGGTATTAAGTGGAACATTTTACTACTAATATTTCCAAGAGAAATAACTATCCATTTAAGTGTTGCTCACAACACTGCCTAATTATATTTTATAGCACTAAGCAATACTTTCCTGAAATGGCAGGCTAATTTTGTGCCTAATAATGCCAGAACACTGTGGGCCAAAAACTTTAGGTCTTCAAAGACTTGTGAACGCTTTAGTTATACAACATGTGCGTGTTTGTCCTCAATTATGTTCTCTAATGGATGCTAGGAAGTAAAATTCTATATACTGAATTATGTTTTCCTAATACAAAATTCTATATCCTAAAATTATATTTTTCTAAATAATATTGTAAGACTAGAACTACTGCCAAGCGCGGTGGTGCACACCTGTAATCCTAGCAGCTGGGAAGGCTGAGGCAGGAGGACTGCGAGTTCAAAGCCAACCTCAGGGCTGGGATTATGGCTCAGTGGTAGAGCACCTGCCTGGCATGTGTGAGACACTGGGTTCAATCCTCAGCACCACATAAAAATAAATAAATAAAATAAAGCTATTGAGTCCAACTACAAAAAAAAAATTGTTGATTTTTTTTTTTTTTAAGCCAGCCTCAGCAAATGGTAAAGCACTAAGCAACTTAGTGAGACCCTGCTCTAAATAAAACAGGGCTAGGGATGTGGCTCAGCAGTTGAGTGCCCTCGAGTTCAATCCACTTTACCAAAAAAAAAAAAAAGACTGGAACTACTGTTTCTAGGAATTTTTCTCACTCTTAGACAAAAATCACTCATTTCAACAAAGTATTTCCAAGAAATTTCAACGAGCTAGGCTCTAGGAGAAGAATTAAATATACCATGCTATGGTTTAAATGTGAAATGTCTCCCAAAAACTCGTGTATTAAAGCTTGGTGGCCACTGTGAAGTGGTGGAAGTTCGAAGATATGGAGCTAGCTGGAGAAGGTGGGTCACTAGGACATGTCTTTGAAAGGTGTATTTTGTCCCTAGCCCCTTTCCCTCCCTCTCTCCTTCAATCGGCTTCCTCACTGCCATGAGGTAAGCTGCTTTGCTCTACCACTCCCTCTGTGCCACAAAGCTCTGTTTTACCAATGGCCCAAAAACAACAAAGCAAAGCAACTATGCACTGAAATCATAAGCTAAAATACACTTTTCTTCCTTTAAGCTGACTTTCTTGGTATTTTGTCACAATGAGAGATATCTTAGCACATACCACTACTAAAATTACAGGGATTGTCAGGCAATCCGAACCACTGAGATATGAATACAAAATCTTAATGGTTTCAAGAAAAATCTGTTTTTCACCTGTATCGACTATTTTAATCTTGTATACAGCATAACTTTTAATACTCCCTTTCTACTTCTGTTTTTAATTATATTTAACATGTTATGAAAGAATGCATTATTAATATTTTTCAAAGTATTCATAACCTCTCTCAGGACCCATTTCTACATTCCATTATTTACCTCCCACCCTGCCACAATTCTCTGGAAAACAGTTTGAAAAGCAGTTCCCATTTGAGACATGCTGTCCTCAGAGTGGAGGGTGAGAGAGTAATGAATGGCAGGACAGAAGCTTTCAGGGCCACTGAAGTTCTGCCTTCACTCTTATTTCCTCGGCATGTCCCAAATAGGAGCTGATCTTCCAACCAGCAAGCCAGAAAGAAGGTAAATGAAGTAAAGTTACAGCTGATCCACAGTTGGTAGTAATATGAATAAAAAATAAGCTCTTGTTGCAAGCCAATGAAGTTTTGGGGTCAATACCATAGCAATAACCTAACAAACATCATCTCTTTGGTATCAAAGCCCTCCATTCCCACTCTTTTAAAAGCTAAGAAATCCTTTATCTTACTATATTCACATCTCTCTTGTCTAATTTCCGTTACTGACTTCACCACTGTGGCCCAGGACATTTAAAACCTCAGTTCAACCTTTCAACACTTTCTTGTTGCATGAAAAAAGTGTTTGAAAATAAAACATATATTATGCCACTAATATAAAACATGCAAAGGTACTATATACTATTTATAGATAACATAAACACCTTGTTTTGACTGACCTTAAGATATTTTTACCTCTCTTAGCTGTTTAAAGGCAAAATTTTAAGTCGGAAGAGAATTGAGGGGTGACTATATAGGTAACATTGTGGAGGATAGTGAGGAGTACTGGGAATTTAACGCATTGGGACTCCACCACTGAACTACATCAGTTCTTTTTATTTTTTTATTTTGAGGCAGGGTCTCACTAAATTTCTTAGACTGGCCTTGAATTTGCAATCCTCCTGCCTTGGCCTCCCAAGTCACTAGGATTCCAAGTTTGGGCCACCACACCTAGCTACAGATTAAATATATATCATTCTTCATACTCTTCTCCATACTTTGCTTAAAATATCACATTTTGAAAAGAATGATAACACATGATGCCATTAAGATGGAGGACTAGGAACCTATAGGTTCCTCATTTCTCCATGGAGACATTAAATAGCAATATGTATAATAAAGCATTTTGGGGGAAACTTTAGAAACTAGTTTTGGGGTAGCAACACCCAGTTGAGCGCATAAACAAGAGGAGATGGTAAGGAGAAGGATAAGAAAGTTCACATTTTGTTTGCCCTAATTCCTCCTACCTCCAGGCATGTTTAGGCAGGATCAGGAGAATATTAACCCAACTCCTAGCTCTTCCTGTAAGAACTTGCACCTAGCATTATGGCTTATATGGAGTCTGTGTGAGGAACTGGTTTCTATCTTGCCTGGCTCAGAGTATAAATGGAAAAGGCGACACAATTTGATTACCAGATGGGAGGCCAGTGAAAGCAGAGGCAAACTCCAGAGTACATTAGAGCAGCAGAGACTGTAGTTCTGAAAGCAGGCACAAAGGAGCAAGAGATTAAAAGCAGAGGAATATAACACACATGAAACCAAAACACCCTAAGAAAAAAACAGGAAATTAAAACAATCAGAAACAACATGTATAAGGGCTGAGACTGTAGCTCAGTACTAGAGTACTTGCCTAGCATGCACAAGGCTCTGGGTTCAATCCCCAGCACTGCAAGGAAAGGACAGGAGAGGAGAGGAGAAAAGAATGCTAGGATAAAAGCACATGCACAACCCCACAGAAAACATACCCCAGAAAAGGTCTGTGGTCTTAGAATCTCTACCCAGGCTAATTGATAAATATCTTTCCCTTTATAATGCAAGTTCATAAATATTAAGAGAGGAGACTGTCTTCAACCCAATTTTCAACAAAAGATCACAAAGCATACAAAAAAAACCCCACAGAAACATGATTCAACCAAGGAACAGATAAAGGTCCAGAAATCAATCCAATTTTCTTAAACACATCTATGAAGAGCCCAAGAAAAAATTTAAAGCAATAATCATGAAGTTACTCAATGAACAAAAAAGAAAACAGGCAGATAACAAATGAAATCAGGAAAATGAAGCTTGAAACGAAATGAGAAAATCAAAAAGAGGAAAAAAAAATATTAAAAACAACCAAATGAAAATTGTGGAACTTAGTGAGATCCTGTCTCAAAAGAAAAGGGCTGGGGATTTGGTTCAGTGGTAAAGCACTTCTGGGTTCAAACCCCAGTACCAAAAAAAAAAAAAAAAAAACTGAAAACAGGATCTTGAAGAGATATTTATACATTCATTCAGCAGCATTATTCATAATAATCAAGAAGTAGAAGCAACCCACATGTCTATCAATGGGTGAATGGATAAACAAAGTGTCTTTTATAATGCAATATTTTTCAGCCTTATAAAAGAAAGAAATCTGTCACATGCTACAATATGAATGAATCTTGAGGACAGTACCTTAAGTGAAATAAGCCAGTCACAAAAAGACAAAATACTTGTATGATTTCACTTACATGAGCTATCTAAATTAGTCAAATTCACATAAACAGAGGGGAGGGAGAAATGGGGAGATGTTGTATCATTTAGTAAGAATCAAGTTTCAGTTTTATGAGATGATAAAATCCAAAAGACTGGATGCACAATATATATATTTAACATTACTGAACTGTAACCTTAAAATGGTGAATAGCGTAGATTTTGTGTGTTGGTTATCACATCATTTTTTTCAAAGTGATAAATTTTGAAACAAAATTAAATTAAATTAAATCAAATACCAAAAGTTCTATAAACTTGCAAAAATAACAAAATACAAAACTTTTAATAAAATACAAGCAAACATACCCTCCACACACCAAGAACTCATTTGAAGCACGTCTGCCAGTAGTTCCCATTGGCATGTCATCTAAGAAGAAAGAGAAAACTACAATCAGTTCTGTTATACCCCATGCTTTGAAAAAATGCAAATTTGTTCCAACATGATTATTATGAAACATTCGGAGTACAACATGAATGATCCATTTATGTTTCAATTCCACCAATGAAAATAATAGGTGAACACAGAAAATTGCACCCATCTGAATATACAGGATGTTGACCTTTCCATGCCAGTTCTACCAGCAAACTTATTGTCTTTTCCAAGGTAAACTGCCGTATCTGTTGCAGTATTTAAGTATTTCTTCACCATCCAACATGTGTAGAAATTGTGCTTTTATTTTTAATTAGATTCCTTTCCATAGGTCACTGACAAGTTTTGAGTGTAACCATTTAGCTAGCCCATAAGCTCTGTGTTTTTTGAAACCTTTTTTCTTCACTAGGTTTGTGTAATAGTGCGGGGGTGGGGGGGGCTGGCTTTGTTGCTGAGATAGGGGTCTCATTATGTTGCCCAGGTTAGTCTCTAACTCAGGGAGCTCAAGTGATCCTCCCACCTTAGCCCTCCAAGTAGCTAGGGCTACAGGCATGCTCCACCACATCAGGCTTGCTCTGTGGTTTTTATTGTACCAGTCTGCAAAGAACACATACATCACACTATACCAGAAATTATCATATAACAAAGTCTATCTCAATCTATCTCAATCTAATGTTAAACAACCTCATCCTCCTGAATAACTCTTTTGAATATACTATGGAAGCTGAGGACTCCTGGACACAGTAGCACATGCCACAGGCCATCTTAGTCTACTCTTACGTTTCCTCTGAATGTGGGAGTACTGCACAGCTCAGAACTCAGGGACCCTTCATTCCCTGCCACTGTTATATTCACTAACACACTGCTCTATGTAATTTTATGTGATATGCAACAGAAGTATTGATCAAATAATAGATGTTTACAAATAAACTGTGTTGCTAACCTATACTCAAAAGAGGGAAGAATCACAAATATTCTTTTGAATAACCCTACATAGGAAGTGAGACAGATGTTTATTTGTCACATCTCAGGTCCCTATTCTCAAAAAGGGTATATTCTAGAAGTGAAAGAACCTAATAATGTCAGGTAGTGATTGGAAATATAAAGGAAAATAAATCAGGGCAAGGGAACAACAAGTAGTAGGATAAAAGAAGAGTCTATATTAAAGATATTTAATAATTCCTATAAGTAGAAAGGAAGAAAAAGGGAAGAAGAGGCAAGCCTAGAAGCTAGGTTTCCCTTGTTTTGTAGCGTTGAGTTTGGAGGCACATATGATTATAAAACAAAATTAAATTTAAAAAAAACAAAACAATCCCTAGAAATCAAAAGTAAAATGAAGCCTGGCACAGTGGCACACACTTGTTGTCCCAAGTTTAAGGCCAGCCTGGGAAATAGAACAAAGCCCTGTTCCAAAACAAGAAAGGATTGGGGATATGGCTCCTTGTGATACTGTGTTTATCTAGTATATGTTAGGCCCTAGGTTCAATCCCCAGGACTGCAAGAAACAAATAAAATGAAGCAAAGGAATCTAACCACAGATCAACTTGGTAGCTTAATCAACAGCAGGAAATTATTTCAAATGACTTTAAATGTGTAATTTGTGTATCTCTAATGGATTATCCTAGAACAAAGAAACCCAGAAAGAGATTTTAAACGACTTTAGTAATTATACATTAAGTAATATTCATATTGTTATTTCAATGCAATATTGCTATTTTGAAACTCCAAAGAGTGAGAGAAAAGATTACAGCCTAAATTCACACAGATTAAAACACACACACACACACACACACACACACACACACACACAGAAAAGTCTACTGCCACAAAAATTGGGTGGGAAGATAGAAAGCTGGTGGACAAGTGATATTGACCTACTTGACCTAAGAAGATAGAATTTTTAACCCCAGAAGTAAAGCAACTTAATCACAGAACCCCAAAAGGCTTGAGTAATTAGCAGTACCAGAGACCTTGAAAGTAGGAACAAAACAAACAAAAAACACCCCCACAGGCTTATTTGAAAGTCTATTTAGAAGCAGTTAAAATACAGTAAATTATAACATTGTAGTGTCTTTAAATTTTTTATTAAATGAGTAATTATAACTGCTCACATGGGGGGGGACAGGTAACTATATGAGAGAATGGATATGTCAATTTTTTTCGTTAGAGTACCCTTTTTACTAAATACGAATATATCTATATCATTAACATCAGATGTGTACCTTAAATAAACAYAGTAAAATTTATTTTCAAAAATACAGAATATTTTTTTAAAATACAGAATTTTAAAAAAGCATTAGAATTTCATGTCCTTTCTCTAACTTAATGTAGAAAGGCAATGAATGCCCAGACCCCACTATTGTGAAAAACTGGATGTTTCTATTGGGACAAAGTAAAACTGGGTCTCTGGATCATAGAGCACAAGGAAGAATTAAAGGCAAAGGTACTATGGTTTAAAAAGGTTAATGAGGGAAAGTAAATAAGTGAAATTTTACACTGACAATTGAGCCTCCTGACATACTACTTTACTGGTTCCCTTAAACAGTATCAGATTTATACTCTTTAGGCAGAAGATTGGATAAATCTTCTTTGAGGTATCTAAGTAGCCCTTCAAAAAGGAAATAGTCCAAGAAAATGCCCCAGCCATAGTACCCAGTACTATCAATCAGACGTAGCTCTAAACAGAGATTTCAGTTTTTAAATCCTCCATTTTTAACTATGATAATCAAACAACAAAACAGAATATTACACCTTGAAATAAGAACAGTGTCAGAGCGGGGAGACAAAGGACTGAAAATTAAAAACATGACAGCATAAATGAAAAACTCAACAGAGTGGTGTTAAATAAAACTTACAGGAGGCCATTGTTTTGGTCTAAGCTCTATACTAGACCCCAACCAACAAGCAGGCTAAAAATAGTCACTCATGCTGAAACTCCATCAGCAATCTGATACTAACCTTTTATCTGACCTTCCAAGAAATCAGGATTAGAGAGATAATAGTCAAATTTTCCAACCAAAGTAGTTTCAAGTGGTGTGATCATAAGTTTTCTCTGCCTTAATCCTTTCACAGGAAAGGTAACCTAAGTTTTTACTCTAGGTTACCTGATGTTGACTCATCAGTTATTTTTTCATTATTCTGTCTCCCAGTCTGAGCCTTACAGGAAAAGTAACTTTGAAATAATAATTAGCTCTTTGTTTTTTGTTTCTGCTTTCTTTTATTTTTTTTTCATATTTTTTAGTTGTTAATAGGCACTTATTTTATTTACTTATTTTATGTGGTGCTGAGGATCGAACCTTCAATCTTTTCACCCCAATCCACCCTTTTACAATATGTTGAAGGCTACAGTGGCCCTCAGGGATTAATATCATCTGGCAAATCTCCTTGCCCACCTGCAGGGAGGAAAGCACCCCACCACAGCCTTTAAGGCTACGATAGCCCTCAGGGACTCCTTCCTTGGGCAGATTCCTAAAGACCTAGTCCTCTCACCTTCTGCTGCTAGAGAGATGCTTACCCTCCCCTTCCTCTCTGCATGCCCTGCCTCTCCCCCTCTTTCTAGCCATGGGAGTATCCAGCCTCTCCAGGAGGGGTCCCAAAAAGCCTTGGCCAAGGTCTCCCACGGTTCTGGCTCTGTCCAGGACAAGAGCTTCGACTGTCAGGATTCGGTGACGACCAATCTCTGCAGCTCAAACCTGCCACTTWGGCACTCTTAATTTTTTGGCTCTAGCGGGGACGCCCCTTTTGCCAAAAAATCAGTTTCCTCCTTCTCTGCGTCCTCTTCCCTCCTCCTTACATGGGTAATGTGTCCTCTCTGCCAGTCGACTTTCCCCTGCAATGCCTTTTGGATCAAATATAGCACCCAGACCTGGCCCACTTATCCCTTAGACAACCAAAGCAGATGTCCCCTTTTTGGATCCCTGGATCCCTCCATACTAAGGGATCTCTAGAATTACTGTGCAAAAAAAATGGGTAGAGATCACTTATGTCCAGGCTTTCTTCTTGCTCCAATCCAATCCTGCTCTCTATACCTCTTGCAAACCTCTACAAATTCTTCTAGCCAGTCGAAAGGGCGCTCAACAGATAACACAGTTTTCCTACTTATATCAGGCCTCTCCACAAAAGGCCCAAATAGCAGTAAATAGGTCACACATCTAGGGTTCTCTCTCTAAGGGAAAAAGGTCACTACAGTAGACAGAAAACAGCTTATTGTGTCTATACCTACACCAAAGACATACTCTCCTTCTTGAGTTTGGCTGGGTACTTCAGGGCCTGGAATTTCTCCCACCTCGCCAGGCCACTAATCTGGCCATGGACCTCCAAGATGAACCCCTACCCTCAGCGACAGGGAAGCCCTTTACAATCCTTAAAAAGGCCCTCCTGGGCTGGGGATGTGGCTCAAGCGGTAGCGCGCTCACCTGGCATGCGTGCGGCCCAGGTTCGATCCTCAGCACCACATACAAACAAGATGTTGTGTCCGCCGAAAACTAAAAAATAAATATTAAAAATTCTCTCTCTTTAAAAAAAAAAAAGGCCTTCCTTTGGGCATACGCCCTGCATCTCCCCGACCCTTCACCCTCTATGTACATGAAAAACAGGGACAAAGTCTGGGCGTTCTGGGTCAGGAATATGGACCCACATTTGCACCAGTGGCCTACCTATCCAACCCCACCATCAGGGGCTGGCCCCCATGCCTCAGAGCCCTAGCAGTGGCCCATGACCTCCAGAAAGAAGCACACAAACTTACCTTTGGCTCCCTGGCTAACCATCTTATCTCCTCATCATCTAAAGAATTTCCTCACTTACAAAGGGCTACAGTCACTTCCTCCTTCCAGGGTTCTATCCCTCCTTGTCTCATTCCTTGACTCTGCCTCCCTCCTCCCATCCTCTCCCTCATAAGATCCCACCCACAAATGCCTGAAGGTATTAAGAGTCGATTTTACCCTGCCCTACCACCATTTCTGAGGGACCCCTGCCTTCTTATACACGAAGGGGTTAAA